CCGGGCGGTTGTCCCCGCTGGAAGGCGACGCGCGCAGCCTGGGGCAGTAGAGCGTCGCTAGGGCTGCCGTGGATGTGCGCACCTGCAGTACCCCGGCCACCCCCGCCCCCACCGCCGACGGTGACTCCTCCACAGCTGGGACAGTAGCATCCAGCCTGCTGGGTCTGTTCTTCAGCCTCGCAGCAAACCACATGGTGATGGGTTTCTGCTAATCCAAGCTGAAGACGAGACGCGTTTTTGGCTTGCTTTTGGCCTTGCCTGTAGCAGGTGTGACCATGAGGACACAGGATAGTGGCCCCTCATTTGCTGGACTCCCTGAGCCAAAGAAACGACCTTGATCACAACCCTAATGTTAACTGCGGTCTACAAATTCATAGCAGCTCCTTCCTGAAAGAGCGTATTATTCCAGAGAGTGCTTGTGCACAAAGAGGACAGAGATAGACAAGCAGGGCTGGAGACATCTGCATAAAAAGATCATCTGCATAAAAAGATCAGAAAGGAAGCAAAAACATGATGGAAAAGAGCCATAGGGGCAAAGTGTTAGCAGTATATTTTAGGAGAACAGCTAAGCCTCCTGGGGGGCTGTAGCTGTGGGTCCTGTTTGCTCATCTACCCTCCACCCATCCTGAGGCCCTTGCTCAACTTCATTAATAAAGTTTGGACAACTGAACATTGGTCCCGTTATCCAAGACCCCATACTTAACTGAGACAACATTTATCTTTTTTGTGGGCCTGTATATTCTTCTCTTTGAGTCCTTTCTCTGCTTGCTGTGCTTCCTCTCCAAGGGGCCCTGTGAAAAGCACAGATGCTCCTGCCAGGCCAGCTGACATCTGTGCAGGAAGGATGCACGTGCAGAAGATGGAGGGCTCAGAGAGCTCCCATATGGAAAGTAAATCTGGGCTCACTGAAGCCAGAAGAGTAGTTATTTTCCCCTCTCCAGTTTTAGCCTGGTGAAGCTAAGCACAGTATGTATTCCTTCAGGCACTGAAAGAAAAAAACCCATGAAAATGTGTCAAAGAAAAGGAAGAGAAGCAAAGAGAAGAGGTTTAGTCCCATGAGGAAGGCGTGTATATCTGAGGCTTGAATCTGGCACTTCTACACAGGAACGACAAAAAGCTCCTAATGAGTATAGGCTCCTCACTCTCCACCATGCCAGCTACTGGGTCACAGAGACCTACACAAGGTTGAGCTTTTCTCCTTTCAGGGGAAATGACATTTTCAATCAGCCACCTCTCGCCTAGGAAACATCAGGAGCTCAGGAGAAGCTTGAAGAACAAGGACAACACCAGCAGTTGTTACAGGTATAAATAGCATTAAGCTAGTGCCAAAGCCTGATAAATGCAGACTACAAACAAATTATTTTTTATGAGCAAATAATGGTCGCCATAAAGGCTTTTTAAAAAGAAAAAGTGTTGCTAAAGACGATTCCAAAAGAAAATCGATAGACATTCAGACTTATTAACGGGTGATTATATTATCATCTAGAGTCTGCGGTCCACAAAGATAGTGCGATTCACCCAGATGCTGTGTCCTACTCTAGTATTGACTTTAAAGACACTTCTCTCTTCCCCGTGACCTCATCTCCATCACAGGGAGGCACCGCAGCAATAAGGCTGTGTTTCGGGCCCGATGCTACAGTGAACTCCATGTCACTTGGGACTCTGTCTGGAAGAAGCTACTTGCAGGATTAGCAGTTCATTTTATATGGCAGTAAATGACACATCTCACGAGTAGCTGGTAATCTTGCTCCCTGAGGTCTCTGCGCACACTGAATAACTATATTGTAATGAAGTTTCTTGCTGTTCAGACTTCATATTTGCAAGCTATACAAACAATGTATCAGTGTGAAATTAATTAACAGCACACGGCACACTTCAAAGGAAGCGAAGTGTGATACTTTTTATCATGGAATGGGGTTTTTAGTAAACTTTCCAAAAAAAAAAAAGTAATCAGCCTCCCAGATTTACGGTAGAAACTCAATAATACGTACAAAGACCCGTTTTAAACCTCTGCTCTGTGGTCACAACAACATCTGGTGGCGTGTGTTTGAAGTTGGGTTCTGGAAAGCAAAGGATCAAGGATCAGCAGGCGTAGGGGTGGAGTGCAATCTTACAGATAACCTTCATTCTTTTGCCTAAAAATCAGTAACTCTCATTGGAATCCTCCTCCTTTTCTTTTCATTTTTTCTTTTTTTCCTTTTTTCTTTTTTTCTCTTTTTT